GGCTGAGCCAGCCACTGATGGATTTGTTACCTGTTTTCCCTAGTTCATTGGCCTAGTACTCAGCCTGCCTGTGTGCCAGGTACTGAGTAGCCAAGGAAAAGCTCACAGAGGAGCTGCACATAGCGCCCATGTAATTATTCTCATGAAAAACTATATTTGGTCGATGTTTATGTATTATCATGGTTGCAATTAATTTGTTTTTTAAAACCCATAAGTAAGAAATTTAAAATCAAAACATATTTTAAGAATTATAGTTTAGTATGTCATCTTTAATATGAATAGTTTAGTATGTTCACTTGCTAACTACCTTTAAAAGTCTCAAGGAAACATGCAAATAAAATTAGAAACAAAATTTTTAAAAATTTGTTACTGCTGTTGATCAGTAATTTGTTGTCATCCAGTTTTTTGCTAGTATTCCAGTTACTGATTTTATTTACATTTATTACTTCAGAGAGTCTATACCGTACCATAATGTTTTCTGTAGACTTTCAATTAAAATTCTCATTTTTTTTTCAGTCTTTTCATATTTTACAAAAATTAGAGAATGACACTGGCTTGTACATAAAGTAGATTGTGATAGCTTGTAACCAGAATGCTTATATTTTATGATGCTTTATACTTACTTCATAGAAGGATTCTTGTGACTTCATGTGGCTTGTTATTGTAGACCCTGTTAGAAAGTGAAGGTGAGAGAATTCCAGCAGCTAAGCCCTAGGGTCATGCTAGTGAGAATGTTCTTTGTGAGCTTGATTAGCATGCATGGTGGTTTCTGTGAGGTAATAGTTAATCTGGGCAGTAATTAGCATAGTTTGTTAAAATGTGAGCACATAGCAACCGAATAGCTAATATTTTACATCTGTTCTCTATAACTTTTTACAGGATCTTGTTTCTTTGTGTAATTTCCATAACTATGATAATTTGAGACACTTTGCAAAAAAACTCGACCCTCGAAGAGAAGGTGGTGATCAAAGGGTAAGCCAGGTTCTTTCTTAGATTATTCTGTAGCACTCTTTTTAGAGAAAGTGAGATTTCCTTGTTTAAATAAGATTTGAGTTTATTAGTGGTCTCACGTTTTTGCCAGTCCTGAACCAAATATAAATAAACTGATACTTTAATCCCCGCTCACTAGTGCAAAGGTATGAAGTATTGTTTTTGTAAGGGCAGTGGCTGGTTTTTCTGCTGTTTTAAGCAAGAGTTAGAATTGATTCTGTTTAAAGAAGACTTTGGAAAGTGCTACATGTTATATTAAAAAGAAAGCCTCATTTTTACTCTTAATATTTGTAGTTATTATTTTTAATTGAAGTTTGTTAAACTTATTGCCTACTCTGTGGATGGATGACATATAAACGGGAAGGTATTACCATATTAATAAGAAACCTTAAGCCTCAAAAGAAGTTTTATGGGCCATTGAAGATTAAAATTTTTTTTTTAGAACCAGTGTTTAATGCAGTATTCCTCATATCCTTAAAATACTATTAGTACTATGTTTGGCTTCATATTCTTATACATACATTATATATATGGATATATATGTACATATGTATATATGTTTTTTTTTTTTTGGAGCTATTTTCACTGGACCAGGAACTTGTATTAAGAATGTTAATTCAGTTCCTTTGCATCCCACATGGAAAATGTTTATAGTAACATTCCCTGTTACACGTTGATGCACTTGTGAGTAGTGAATACTTTGATTACATACTGAGTGGATTTTTGTTAGTGCCAAACTAAATTTTTTTATGTTTGATCAATCAAAGTAACTTGTAACATGAGGATTACGCAAAGCCGACAGAGTAGAAACTGGTAGGCATCAGCGTTGAGTAATGTGGAGCGGAGCAAGATGCCAGGTGACAGTGGGTGAAAATGTTAACAGATTGTAATAACGTTCATTGACAAATACCATTTTGTAGCTTGGACCTATCTTCACTCAAGTGCACTAATAAATTATGTATGTTGCTTGAACAACTAGCATTCCTTTGGACCATTGGACTATGAAAGTCTCCAACAAGAACTTGCTTTAAAAGAGACAGTATGGAAAAAAGTGTCACCTGAGTCAAATGAGGACATCTCTACAACTGTAGTGTATAGAATGGAAAGTCTGGGAGAGAAAAGCTAAAGAAATGGGTCCTAGTTTCAGATGTTCTTCATTTAACCTTTCAAACATCTTGAGCTTTTTTGAAATATTTATTTGATTATTTTGTGTGTGTGTTCTGAACCGTGGTGCTGGAACCACAAAACTTTTTTTTCCTTGTAATCTTTGTATGAAGATAATAGACTTAAAATGGATTTGTTGGTATTTAAAAATTATATTTACAAGTAAACGAAGCAACTTTTCCTTATTTTTTAAAAATGCAAAAAGGAAAATTAAGAAAAATTTATTCATATAATTAAAACTTTAAGTATAGTCAGATAATCCATTGTCATTTCTTAGTTCTAAAAGTCACAAATTGAATTTATAAGTTTTGTTGCATTTTACTTTTTCACTTTTAAAACCAACATAATGGTGATAGTGACAATAGAAAGTACTTATGCTAAATGCATAACTAAAAAGAGGCAAAATGTAGTAGTACCTTGGTTCACAAAAGCTTTTGTTTGCAGACAGTTTGGTTCACAAACAAAATGCTTGACAGAATTTTGTTTTTGTTTGCGAACTGTCCACCAGATGACACGCAACTGTGGCTACCCTTATCACACAACAGGAACGTGGCCATCTTTGCTAAACTTGTGAACAGGT